ACACCCGTCTGGAGTACGGCAGCGAGGCGGAGGGCTGCAGTTGTCGCTTGACCTGACTCAAGCTTTTGACAAGTTGGAGTGGGGCTTGGTGTACGAGGCTATGAGGGGAGCTGGCATTCCTTCTGACCTCTTTCAATTGGTGGTGCTCTGGCACAGCCATTTCCAGTACCATCTCACTCTTGGGGCTGAAACCATGGGGTTTGATGTGGGCATCCTCGGGCTTGGCGGGCGTAGGGTTTTTGAGGCATTGAAGTCTGTTGAGGCTTTGGGCTTGTTTATCACTTTATGGTTGTAGGGTTTAGGGTTTAGGGGCTGTAGAGTTGAGGGTTGTAATTTCGGGTTGGGGGGTTGGGGAATTCGGCAAGGATGCCGCATCGCTCCCCTCTTATGGACCCTTGCCACGGCTGAGTCACAGTTGACAGGGTCGGGGGCTAACGAGTGGGTGCGGCATCTCACGCTATTTGCGGGCGACTTTCATGCCTCACAGCTTGTCCGCACTACAGCAGACCTGGAGCTTGCCGTTCACAGATTTGGCCTCCTGCTTGAAGTCCTTGAACAAGCATGCTTCGTCATAAACAGCAAAAAGTCGGCCATCCTGTTTCGGTTTACACCGTCCTTCGCCAGGGGATGGCTCAAAAGCCATCTTAGGAAATGTGAAACTGGACAACTCTTTCGGGTGCGCACTTCCACGCAGGCTGCTTATGATCTTCCTGTCAAGTCAGAGCACGTGTATCTGGGACTCACCATCTCCTATCACGACTACTGTGGGTCGTCAGTTCAGCATCGCATCAAACAGGCATGGGCTACCTGGACGAGGTTGAGGCCCTCCTCACCAAAGCCACATCACCACCGCTCCCTCTTCGGCGTAGACTCTGGTATGCTAGTGTTGTGCCCACCCTGTTGTATGGCTTGCACGTTCTCCCGCTTACGGAACAGCTGCTCTCGCAGCTGCAAGCTGTACACACACGACACCTTCGGGCGATTGCCCGTTCGCAATCGCATCTGACCTTTGAAAGTACCACGGCGTTGTATGCGCGCCTGGAGGTGCCCACTGTGACTGCATCTCTGACACGCAGGATGGAGGGCATGTTACGCCGACTTGAAGTTACTGCTCATGATGAAATCACACCCCCCGAAGATCTGAGCTCCAGCTCCAGATGGAACTGAACCCAGGCAGTCTGGTAATGTCCGCTCGGATTGAACGGACGAACAGACTTGAAGTTGCGGATGGATTCGCCGTTCAGGAGGTGCTCTATGTCGGTGATGTCCTGAAGGATGGACTGAGTCGACCTTGAGTCCACCAGAGGAACAAGTTCCTCCTCGCCCTTCTCTGAGTTCCAGCGAAGGAAGTTCCAAGCTCCCTGACTGTCCGTCCACGACATCTGCTGGGCCTTCTGCTGTAGCTCGGTGCTCGAGGCAAAGCCCTTCAGGCGTGCTCGCAGCTCTTGGAAGAGTTCCCGGAGCATTGTTTCTCTCAGGGACATGGTCAACTTCGTGGGATCCTCGTCCATGATGTCGCTCCATCGTTTGGCCGTCTTCTGAATCAGGGGGAGCACTGAGGCAGGCGGCTCTGGTCGAAAATAAAGGTGCAGACGCATATCCTGTTGTATGCTCTGTAGCTGGCGCTCGTGCCTGAGTAGCATCCGGGCCACCTGATTGAGAAGATCGCCCCCCTGTTGATGATCCAGCGCACGTGGTGGCGATCCATGGTAGGAGGAGGCTTTGCCTTTGCCCCTGCCCTTTCCTTTCCCCTTGGATCCCTTGTAGCCTTTGCCCGATTGTTGTGGTCCCTGCGATCTTCGGGATGTCGGCATCGGCCTGGGTTCCATACTGGAGTCCGGTGTTTCGGCTGGCCAGCCCGACGGCGGCCTCTTGACCTGTGCCGTGGGTGAGGCATCCGGTGGCTGACATATGGAGACGAGTCCCGAGAACATGTCCATTTCCTGCTGCTTGGCCGAGGCTGAGAGGACGCCCTGGCGAACATCTGTCTGTGGAGCTCCCGGGGCCTGCTCGATCGGTGTCGGGGTCATGGCTATGAGCAACTACTTCGATAAAGCAACAGACGGTGATCATATGACATCTTTGTCAAACTTGGTCTCAAGGCAATATGGGCAGGGCTTCACAGTGACCCTTTTGAGAAGAGCTGCTTTGGCCAAGATCTGAGCCCAGGAGTCACGCCACAGTGCATGGTTACGCGTGAGATGGACCTTGACGCCTGAAGAGGATGAGCACCACTGCCCACAACACGGGCAATGATGTCGCATCTCGTCCCGAAGCTCCGGGCTGGTCAATAGTGATTGCCAGCCCAGTCGACGCACCTGTGCCAAGATGGCTGCACGTTGGATGAGTGGCGCACGATCAAGTTGACCCACCTGCCTCTGCCATGTGTCGTCTCGACTTTGCACATCTGTGCCAGTGTGGTGCCTAGAGGAGGCGCCGATGGCGTGGGGTGTGGGCAATAGGCACTCGATGAGACTGCATCCGCCGTAGCAGCGGATTCGCCTTGTTCTGGAGCCAGGGCAGGTACGGCAGATGAGATCAGCTCATTGGCCACGTCCGCAGTAGCAGGAGCACTTGCTGCACTCACCTCAAGTCCAGGCGGTAGAGCGATAACATGATCGGGTGGGACAGCTGCACAGAGCCTCGGGCATCGCGTCTTTTGGATATGATCTTTGAGGATGGACCACCGTCCAAACCGCCTGCAACATAAGGCACACTGGGGCATGCCATTCACCGAGCGCAGTTGCCGGTTGAACGGGATACCGGGTTGTCGGGCAACGTGCAGGCCATGGTGGGTCGCCTGATGCACTCTGAGTCGGCGCATATCCGAAAAAGAAGAAGAGCATACCTCACAACAGAAGTCACGGACACCAGTGTCCGTTTGAAGCACAGCTGAGCTTGCTGGTCCGTCTGCCGCAAAGGAAGCTGAGACACCGAGCACACCGCCAGATGTCTCCATCTGTCTGAGACCAGTAAGTGCTTGATGCAGTCTGTAGGCCTCCTGAAGGAGCATAGGACTGTCAAGACCTGGCAGAAGATGAATGGCCTCATCAACTCGGGAGTTCTTCACCTCCTTGCAGCCCGACTACGCCGCGATCGTCCCGTGCAGTCACAACTAGCACGAGAGATACAGAATCAGCTATGGGCGCAGGAGTGGCAAGTTCTCTTGCGGACTCTCCGACCCTCGTAGGGCTCAGCCTGGTGGACATCCAGTTGACCAACCCACGAGGCACCATATGCTACATGAATAGTGTTGTTCATGCACTCCTGCACCATCTTGCCTGCACTGGTGTCACAGGGACAGAGGAGCTTGGCGCTCCGCAAATTCTCCATCGATGTCTGGGTCACTTCAATGTCCTGGACCTTAGCACCTGCTTTCCGTGGGTCATGCTTATAAATCCGTGGCCGTTGGGAGTCTGATGCTGCCGAGTTTCTCCAGCATGCTCTACCCAGAGCTCGTTTGCCATGCCTCCGGGGTGCCTGGCAGGCTCGGCAGTCCAGCCTGCATAGTCACCGAGTTACGGACTCTGGTAGTGTTGCTCATGGCCCCATCCTTCTCGACATTTCAGGCGCTGACACGTTCCAAGCTTGCATTGATCAGTGGCATGCCCAGCCATCCATGCACGCCCTTCTCACCGGCACACGTAGTGTGTGCTTTCAGCTACTCAGGTTTCGTCAGAAGGGGCGGGGAACGCGACGATGTGTTGTCAAGGACTCACGTCCGGTTCAGCATATCTTGTCTGACATTCTAGTCCCGATGTTTGACGATGATTGCTCCCTTGCAGTCTCCCTGATGCCCTTCCAGGCAACTGCGATCGTCACGCACTTGGGGCCTGAAGCCACGTCTGGACATTATCGGAGCGTGCTGAGATGGAAAACGGATCTTTGGCACACTGATGACAGTACACAAGCAGTGTCAGTCACTGACACCTCGCTGAGCGAGACCATTGCAGCCGATGCTTATCTCGTATTCTGCTCCCAGGCTGTACACATGTCTTCATCCAATGCTGAGTGAGTTACCGACGGCCCTTATGGCCTGGTGAAGCGCAAGTAGTTCTGCATCCACAGAGATGCCGATGCCAAAACGGCATTGCTACAGACAGCTAGGCGAACTTCTCGCTGCGTCCGGAAGAATGTGTGTGCATGTATGTATGTATGTAGGTAGGTAGGTAGGTCGGTAGGTAGGTAGGTGGGTAGGTAGGCAGGAAGGTAGGTATGTATGCATGTACTATGTATGAATAGATGTATATATGGATGAAAGCATGCGTGTATGATTGTATGTGTGAATGTATGTTGCTTGCACGCATGGTCAACAAGCGGTTCATGTAGCTCTTTCGGCTGCAGACACGCATGCGCAGAAATTTTCACACACCGCACCCACCCGCCCGTGTGATGCATTTCAGCTTTCCGCCTGCACTAACGTCAACGCCGGCGTTACACCTCATCTCGTTTCACGCCTACCTAGCTAGTAGTTTCACAACGACGGGGGGCCTGAGTCGCCCGCCCGCGGCCGGACTCCCAACACTGAGCAGCACCCGTGGAAAAAAGAGTGAGAGCTTTTTGCACGCATTTGTCTGCAGTTGACTAGAGTACATGAACACGCTAGAGAACGTCTCGGTATGTATGCATTTTGTATGTACGTATGTATGTATGTATATGTATGTATGTATGTGTATGTATGTATGTATGTGTGTGCATGTATGTGTGTGTATGTATTGTTTGTATGTATGGATGTATGCATGCATGCGTGCATGCATGCATGCATGCAAGCATGTATGTATGTATGTATGTATGCGCATATATATATATATACATATAATGTGCCCCGTATAGGCGTATACGTGTTTGTTTGTTTGTCTGTCAGTTTGCTTGCTTGCTTGCTTGCTTGCTTGCTTGCTTGCTTGCTCGCTGTGCTCAAGTGTCAACTGTTACGTAGCAGAAGGTCAGCGGCTGATGTTGTCTCGTGTACATTGCACCTTTCTGCCGCTTTGTTTGGGCAGGTGACTTCAGGCAGCTGCTTGTCGGCCGACGTTGCTGTCATCACACTTGTTTGCTTGTATCCGTCCAGAGCATTTAATTGTATCACCATTTAGCCTGCATCGAACCAGAGGTCCTGTCTTCTTTTCGATTTGTCCATTTGTGTGTCCTTAGGTTGGATATTCGACTCCAGGGCGGCAGGCGTTTGCGTCGACATTCCCAGAAGTTGTTCGGATCTGCTGACGGGACCTTCGGCTTGTGCAGACTTGCTCTTGCTGGCTACCACATTGCACATAGAATGAAGTGCCACTGACCTTTCACGCACAGCCGAGGAAAGTGAAGATTGGCGTGGGCGCTCGTGTCTACCACCCACCGCGAGTCCACTTCACTCCTTTGGTGCCTTTGCTTGCTCGCTTCAGCTTCGCTAGGAGTCCGGCAGCGAGTGCATAAAAGTGCGGCCCGATGATTTTAGTGCCGTGACTCTTCAGGTGGAATTTGTGATGGTCGAGCCCTTCAGATACAAAATAGCCTGGATGTGCCCATGTCGCGCAAACAGCTTTGGTGTGAACCTGGTCCCCATGCTTGAGCCCAGGAGCGACTCGATTTCTTTCATGGTCCATGCCTCCCACGCTGGAGCAGAGTTCCCAGACGACATCGGCAAGCAGGCATCTGCTTCCCAAGTTGATTCCCCAAGAACGGAGTCCATTCTGATGCAAATGTCTGCTGCCCATATGCTCTGCATGATGATGCGCCTGCCAGGTCAAGTACACACACCTGGACTGGATAAATCTGGAAATGGTGCAGGTGCTCTGTTTTGGTTAGTCCCGTGCGACTATGTCCCACCCACCTAATACGTCGTGCCACCTTGAGCTGAATGCTTGAGCACTGTGACAGCTAAGGCCAAGCGCTTTAAAGGTATTCTTCCGCAGCCTCTCGACTGCACTGCATAGTCCTCCAGCAATCGCTGCATTGCCTGCGCAGATACTGCTCAGCCAGGCTTTGGGGAACCATCCCACAGACTCCAGAGGTTGAGGAGATGCTTGTTGCGCCAAGCAAGCGCCGCGAGCATGAGCTGCAGCTCACATGTGAGCTTTCGACCCATGCCTGCACAACCCAGACATGAAGGGCCCCCAAAGTGTGAGTGTCGTCTCACACAACGTCTTTTTCAGCAAGCATGCAACCGGAGAGACTTCGGATGATCGTGAAGTTGAGATGTTCTGTCTGTATCTGGTACTTGGCCGGTGTTGCTGCGGGCTGAAACTGGCAATGGAGCGCCTCCAGCAATGCCTGAAGCTGCGATCTTGCCAGAGGTAACATTCCCAGCTTTCTGCAGTTTCCACTGCCCCATGATGTATTGCTGCAAACTGATTCCTGATTTCCCTGCAGGAGGGAACCCAACGAAGATGTACACTAGCCGACCGTCTCAGCAGCTTAGTCTGCCTAAGGGCAGGTTTCCTCGGACGGTGTTCAAGCATCAAGCTTCTGGTGATAGCACAGCAACATGTAGGTGCAGCTGAAACTCAGATAACGAAGCAAAAGAGTAGCATGCAGTGAGATCCCGGCTTTTGAAAGATGCTGCTCTGGTTTGTCATATACCTGGCCCGGCCGGTCTGGTCAAAGTCCTTCGAGCCTCGTCACTGACCACTTCATGTGAAAACTGGGTTCTTACAGCTAGATGCGGACCCAGCCCCGTTGGGCGACATCTAGACGAGGCAGCACATCTGGAGGTTTGAAGCGGAATACAACATCCCAGACTGTCAGTTCGTTGGGAGGCCCCATGGCTTTCGAAGCAAAGCAGCCATTGCAGTATGCTGCGTGTGCTCAGCAGAAGTTGACTCGTCTGTAGTCACGACCTGGTGCCCATGGTTCCAAGGCCACGGCCCGGGCTAGCTTCGGTGAACTTTCCAGGCATTTCATTGTAGGGTCTCGCAGGTCGAAATGGAGGATCACAGCCACGGCCAGCAGGACCGCAAGCCTGTGCAGCTGAAGCAGAGCGTGCGAACAGTGAGCAGTTGTGGATGCGCGCCGTCTGATGGGTTTCCCGTATAACAGCTACATCTGCTGTCCCACGAACCTCCACATGTTGGTTTATCTCTTAACACTAACATTGGACCATCGCTTCTGATTGGAACGCCCTTGGAGGAGGATGTGCTGGATGGGTTTCCCGTGGAGGTCTGTGTCGCGGATAGATTTTGATGCCAAAGAAGCATTATGTTGCGCCACCCACAACACTCCACCATTCTCAGCACCTCCTGTGAATAGCTCGCCAGCAAACACATACCACCAAGGTATTCTCGTCAGGATGCGGCTGGGACATTCTAGATGATATGAGTTCATGTAGCTTTGAAGTGTCATAGCATCGAAGCATCACGCGTGTCTTGCTCGCCAACTACAGAGCAGAGCCCCTGGTATCTGTGTTGTGACGGTCCTTGGCAGGGATTTCTCCGTTTCTTCCGCGAGCAGAGGACAGAGCTCATACGACAGTCAGGGTGGGGCTACTCAGCGAGGGTCCTGCAGCAAGCAACTGTCAGATGAAAGGATCGTTTCGGCGGACGGCCCATCCAAACCGCCACTTTGTTCCTTCTTGGTCCCAGGCTGCATCTCTTAGCGCCGAACCGCGCGAGATTGAGTGCGGCGGCATGGCACTTAAGGGTCTCCTGGTGCATAAACAACTGCTCGGAGCACCTCAACGCTTCCGCGTGACCGTCAGAGTGCATGAAAGAACACGGAGGCAGCCGCGGCTTGGAAGAAGCTGGGCCTGGACCGTCCGGCAGCCCTGGTCGGAAAGGTTTGGGGATTTTGCTCTTCACGGAGTTGGCAACGTATGTTCGAGACTTTTCGTTGACGTGTGTTCTGCTTCGGCAGTCGGTGCAAGCCCATAGTTTTGGTTGTATTCGTCGTGATGTCACGGCCAGAGGCCAGAGGCACCAGGTGACATCTGATCTCCGCCCTGGCCAGGCCAGCATCAGTACCAGAAGGAGGCGCTGGAGGCCGGGAGATGCCGAAACGACGCTTCCTCTTCCCGCCTGAGCCCCGCTGACAGTCGAAAGGTTCATGCCAGCTCTTTCGACGGACTTGAGGCGCCAGCTCAGGGAAAGCCGCAAAGGCTTCAGAACCTGTATCAGTTTGGCTTTGGAGCTAGAGATGCTGGAAGGATATGGATGTCGCTTGATGCTTCGGTTGGAAGCACTTTGCAGCCTGCCATGCGTGTGTGCCAAAAGCTCCGCATGCGCTCGAACCTCATGGTGTGAAGCCAGGGCATTGCGTGTGACAGCGCCGACGATGCAGAGACAATGGGCAGGCCGAGTTGTGGGGGCTGCTTTACATAGCTGGATGAATTGCCGCGGTGGTGCCAGCAGATGTTCATTGCTCGTGAGCAGGCCGAGGCTCTCAGTGCCACATCCGCAACTGCATTAGACTCATTAGAGCACCCGAGAGGAAAGGGCCGTCGTCGTTTCAGGGCATCATGTTCATCTTTGCTTTTCGGCTCAGAGTTAGACGAAAACTCGTTGGCCAAAAGGGGCGGAGGGGGGGGGCGGGAGTTGAGCCCACCAGACGTGCAACGGCCACTTGGATGCGAGCACGGGGCTCTTGCAAAGGATTGCAGGTGACTGGGATGTAGGAGGATGATGTAGGTATCTTGGTTCGTTTGGCATCTGAGTACACGACGCGCAGCTCTCGTCCTGACGGCCCCGAGGGCATGCTTCGGTTGGGGCCATACCCGCCCCCGCTGATCGACATCTCCGGCCCCGAGGCGTGCGATCTTGTTATCAATGTCTTCGCATGAAATCAAACCGTGGCTATGGCGAGCTTCCAGGAACTATGGACAGACAAGTTCGACAGTGTTCCGATCCTTGCCAGCGACCTGGAATCAAGCGTCCTTGGCTCAGAGCCGCCTTCATCTGTTGCAGGAAAGTGGATGTCCTACCAGCATGTGTTGCAAAGCCCAAAGGAAGCAGATTTTCAAGGTCGCCTCACCGTTGGATGACCCCTCGGAACCACGGTGCTTGGAGATTCTAGAGGCACACTGATGTGAATCTGCCTCCCATGCGTGTAGAATTCTGATTGAATTCAAGTTCTAGGCCCATTGTTTGACTGAGCGTCCTCTGACGTCAGGCAAAGCCCGAGTCTGTGCAGGACTGTAGCCTCGTGGAAGGGGGGGGGGAGGTTAAGTTTTAGGGTTCAGGCTTTAAGGCTTTAGTCTTCGAGTTCTTCGCGATGGGCCGTTTCTAACGAAGTAGTTATGTTGCTGGCACCAGGTAGGGCACAGCCAAGAAGGAACAGGGAAGACTGCCTTGAGGATTGGGGCCGTGGCATTCCAAAAATATAGAATGTAGTGGCTTGCAGCGAGGAACACATCAATGCCGTCCTGGGCTTCAACACCTTTCGCCGACTTGGGCAGGTAGCCTTTCCTTGAACTTTGAGAGTTTCCGGAGATTCAATGAACTCTGTTAGCGCAGTGGCTGTTAGAGCCAAATGGCTTGTGAGGTGGTGCAGGAGGCAGCTCCCTCAGAGCTTGAGGCGGAGCGGCGCGAGGACTACATGACTGCATGGCATCATGTGGTGTGGAGCAGCATTTGCAGCAGTTGCAGCAGTTGCGGCAGCAGCAGCTGAGGCAGCGGGCAGTGGTGGTTTTGGTCAGAGTTGTGGTTATATGCGCATCGCTCCGGGTGAGTCCAGTGCCCTTCCCAGACCCGCTGAACTGCAGGAGCTGCATGAGCGGGCATTGGAGGCCCTGAAGGCGGATTCTTCTGAGCTTCATGCATCTCAGACTCGTTGTTAGTCGCCTTGCCAGAGCCAGTCCAAGGCCGCAGTGCAGCGGCGGGCTGCAGAGGCCATTGCCAGGGCGTGGGATGGAGAGGTTTCATGACAGGCTTTGCAAGAAAGTGTTCCTCGAGCTATGTGTTTCATTTCCGGGGGGCCAGCTGTCCAGGAAAAGTATGCTGAGACACCAGCGGCTGCGACGGTGCCACAAGCAAGCCCGCAGCTTTCCGTGACGTCCGCACCTGAGAACCATCAGTGCATGAGGCATTAGACATAGCGAAAGCATTGGGTGTTGTTGCGATTCTGTGACATGTTTACCTGACAGGTCGGTGACGACCGGAACGCCCTCGTCTTCTCAGTCTGAGGTTCTGCACGTTTGCAACTTGCAACACTAATTGGCCAGTGACATGAAGCAGAACGTTTTCGGCAGAGCCAGCCGAAGTTACGTTTGTGTTAGGTCATTCAGCCGGTTGCGAAAACCAACCTTTCACAGCGCTCTCCTTTATTTGCATTCCTGCGGCTCGATCTGCCCCCTCTGTATCTGTCTCTCTCTCTCTCTCTTTCTCTTTGTCGCCCTTCCTGCAGCTCTGATTTGAAGAAAAGCAGGTCGGCAGCAATGGCGGAGTCGAGGAGGACACTGTCGAAACCTTGGAAGCGGTAAGATTTCTGCTTGGGTCTGCAGCTGAGGTTTGATTTAAGGGACGATCGGCCCTGTATGGGGTTCTGGCTTGCACTGTGCGTGTGGCAAAGGGGTGACGGTAGCAGCACAGGTTGCGACGGTATGAGCTGGGTCGTGTAAGATGCAAGTATTTGTTGTTTGGTTTCCTAAATTCAGGTGAGGCCTTTGTGCATCCTTCATGAAGCTGCCCTCTTTCATGAAGCTGCCCTCTGAAACAATTACCGCCAGACTCGGAGAGTTGCTCCGGAGTTTAAAACTTTGAGCTGCAATCTGCGAGCACTGTGCAAGGCATGGGAGGACCATGTCCATTCGCAAATTCGCTGGGCCGCAGAGGCTGTGGTTTATGCATTGACAGAGGGCATCGCCAGTGGGTTACGATGGGAAATCACACTTCGCATGCGCAAGTGGGGTGGTTGATGTCCAAATGCATTTGCAAGTGTTCGGACGTTCTCCAAGTTTAGACAAACACATTCATGAAGCAACTAACTTATGATCCCAAAGCTTTTCACGCGGGAGCTCGAAAGCTTCTTGCAACGTTTTTGCAGTTCAGGGTCCATCAACTTCGAGAAACGTGTAAACGTGTATCGTATTTCCGGCCGCGGTTTCATTCGTGGTTTCGAGGGTAGCGAGGAGATATCCGCGTGTCCTACGCACGATGCTTCCACAGACCTGCGCTCGATATCAGAACCCTTGCGCTTATCAAATGCACATGGCAGGCAGCGAAGTTCCGTCAGGCAGGTGCATGTCGGGAAGAGCAGTGTTTTCAGTACAAGGGGCCGAAGTCGGCCGAAGGGAAGACCAATCGACGGGTACCCTGCACCCTGCACCGCGTCCTTGCACCCCGGCCTCTGATTCTCTTAACCATATTGGGGAAGCGGCTTTGACGCCTGCTGGCCGACAGCTCCACCGGGAGTGCCACTTCAGCATTCAGAGGGAAGCAACTTGTCCAGCAGACCAAGCGTTCAGACAGAGCCAGGACGACTCCGCAGTACCCTGGGTGGAGGCACTTCGGGGAGTGGGCCCTCCGGGCCAGTTCGAGGCCATGGGGCCGATGACGAGCCGGTTGATTTGCTAGGGTAGTCGTGAACATTCGATAGCAACCCGCTGGAGAAGAAACATGACATGTCATATTATGTGAAAGCTGAAGGAGAGGCCCATAGCGTGGCAGACATGGTCCCAATGTCGTTGTTTCTAGCATTACTCGTCCGGTATGACTTGTGTACGTGCAGTTCGGGTTTCTGTGGTGCTGGAGGAAACGTGTGTGTTTGCTGGTAACCAAATGCTCCCGTATCAGGTGACCTCAGCTCAGATTCGGGCTGCAGAATACTTTCAGGAGCAGCAAATGCAACTCGGACAGGCAATCTGGCTTTTCTGCCAATTGGGGGAGGCGGGGTGGTCGTGATGGTGTCGAGAGCAAGGTACATGAGAAGTGTAGCAGGTAGCAGGATTGAAACATTGTCCGCACATCTTAGCACCCGGAGTCTCGAAGAAAATTTCCGCAAAAGGAAGAAAGCGGAAACTTTCAGTGGCTGGACCTTATTTCAGATCTCATCTGGTACTCGTACCTTTCCTGCGAACCTTTCCTTTTGAAGTCTGTCGCTTAGGTATGAGCAATACCTCCTGGAGTTGCAACGTTACCAACAGGCCCGAGTTGCATAGTTTGTTCAGGTGGCTTGGGCTGGGAGCTTTGGTCGGATTGCATGCTTGCCCCAATTCTCGTTACAAAAACTCTCGTCTGCACCGCGCCCGCATCTGCCGGACAGGGGCGGGATCACATGTGGGCATTGATCTAAAGGTCCTTGTCGCT